AAACAAACTATGCAGTGAGACTGCTGGGTCCCCTCTTTTATTCTAGGGGCTCCTATTGCAGCACCCTGTGTGACCTGTTTATGTATTTTCTTCAATGCCAAGAAGTGCTCAAGTACTGAATGTTCAATTCATTAATATACTTTTTGCTTTACCCAGTATGACAAATTATTATGAGCGAATTGTTGCAGTTCTGTCACTGTCCACATCAGTTATGTAGTTTTTAAGATCACTACAATCGCAAAGCAAACCACTTCAAGCAAATTAATGGAAATGGCAATCAGCACAGACCAGCCCCCAGACTGTCACCACAATTAAACAGACCCTCATGAAACTCCGGAGATAAAAAGGGCCTTTCTGCCAACATCGTGTGTTCAGTTTGCTAACAACACTTTGTTCTCTCCCTTGTTTCAATGAGAAAGGAATCTCCATGGATTTGTTTTATTTATCTGAAAGGCTGAAATCAACAGCTCTGAAAAATATTCACTACTTAATGCTGACAATTAAATCTATCCCAAAAAACCCCAAACAAAATTAAAGCTAATCAAAGTTAGTCTCCAAAGTTAGCAATGTGCCAAAAAAATTATAACAAAAATAAAAAAGTGATTCTATATATTTTCTGTCTAAATTCTCAAAATCTTGAGGCCAAAAATTACTTTTTTTTTTTGCCTTTTGATACCCACAGAAGTTTACTGCATTCCTTAATCATGCAACCCAGCCTAGCAGCAAGCTGACTTTCCGGAATGCTGTTGAAATCTGGCAGAGTGGCTGTGGCACTGCTGTGGCACCATCGATTCTTCTTTTGGCCATTTCCATTGTTTCTCCTTCCATGTGCTATGTTCTCCAGACATCACTAGTTTTCTTGTTATTATCTTCTGAGCAGTTATTACGCAGTAAGAGAAAGTAAAAAAACCTAAATGTCTAAAAGTAAACTCCCCTGACTCATGGTAAAACTGCAGAGACTATCTCCTTCACCTTACTGACACCACGGGCCCACCCTGGGTTGCACTGAACTGAGCTGCTTGGGAAGTGCTGGTGAGGCATTCTCCCTTTTCCTGTGAAGTTCTTCTAGGATGAGTTTCCATTCTCTTTACAACCTTTAGATATGCCACTTCTCTAGAAATACCCTGATAAGGGGATGAAGGCAGCATCAGAGAGAGAGAGAATAAATATATGAGATGCAGAGAGATTGCAGCAATGGCCATAAATAGATATAATGGGAAAACTGGGAAAAGATACCACACCAGTTCAGACATCAAATGTGAGACAACCTATACACAGGAGTAGTGGAAAAATATCCCTTCAACTTAGAAAATGAGGGCTGACATATTCAAGAGGGGAGGATTTGATACAGTTGTTTATGACACTGCTGTTGCCAGACTAGATATAAGTCAACCCACAACGTCCATTTTTGCTCAAAATTATCATGTTCTCTTATTAAACTTAACTGTGTCTCAGAGGTCAGCTTTTTAACTAAGAAGAGTGGGATGATTCTTGTCCTGATACTTGCAAAGACTCATAGATTATTTTATTGGAAGTTATATCCTCAAAATATGGCTAAAAGCTGAATACAGATTTGTTCTGTAACTAAATTTTGCATGCTATCCATTGAAACCCGTTTAAAAAAATCTCTTACTTCATGTATTATGTGAAGCAGGACATTATAGGTATTGCTTTTCAAAAGAGAAAAAATAACTTGCATTAAAAATCCATTCACTTGTCTTTTTGTGTGAATTCTAGAGTTTATGAACCCCTCTGATGGCCTTATATATCCATATTAAGCTCTGGTATTCAAAACAAGACTATCTCTGTCCCTCTTCCCATTAGAAATAAACTCTTCTTTAAATGGTTTCAGCCAAATATGCATCTTATTCATGGCAAGTAGAAGAAGTTATTAAATGTAGTTTGACATCTTAGTTATTACTTTTAACTTAAGCCATTATACAATCTATAGGTGATACAAAAATTCTAATAGAAAGAACTCTTTTTTCTTTAATATGATTTACGGAACAATGTGAGAAATAATCCCAAAGCTTTATCTAAATAGATTTTAGCTTTTCACAGTGAACTATATCACTCACCATATATTTTCATTTGTGGTTTCTGGATAGCAGATGGTATTGAATTAGGCATCGAACCTTCACATCACTCTTTCAGAATCTGGTGGGTATGTGCTGGACCGAATGGCCAGGAATAATCACACCGTTCCCTCTGGCGTAGTCTTAAAAAGATTCTGAAAGCGTCAGGGGAAATTTATCTAAGAAAATATGAAGCAGACTCAGAATGCCCAAACCATGTAGGCTTAGTCTTAAAGAAAGACTGCAGCTTGTGCAGACTCTAAAATTAGCTTTAATTTAGATAAGTAATGGATCGATAGCAATAAAGCCAATATCAGAATGGATTTCAAATAAGGGTTGTTGCTCCAGGGAAGAACCTGGCATCTCAGTAGGGCACAAACTTTCTGCAGTTTCTGTGAGACTGCAACTTTGCCTCTGCTTTTTGAACAAGATACATTACAACATCAAGCTGCAACTCCTAACGCTGCATGTACATTTTCAGCTTTGGTACAGATGTACCTTGGTACAGAAAAGAGCAAACAGGAGAAATGCCATCGCTCAGAAAATACTGGAAGTGGCATTCAGCCAGCAGCATAAGGAAATCTAGCACATCTTTATAGTGATCACTTGGCCCTCTCAAACACTAATACATGATGCTTGGACTTCTTAAGAGCTAGTACTACTAAAAAGCATTAAGAAAATAGGTACTTTAAACAGTCATATACAATAGAGCTCTGACCCGGTCATTGATATTGTCACATTTGGTGATGCTGCTGACCAGGCAATTCTGCTCCTCTAGCTCAAACCCAAGCAGGGAGAACTGTTGTGTGATTCTGTAGTGTGGTGGCCATCACCACTTCTGCTTCCCCCTACAACCTCAAGATGCCTGTGACAACTTCTGTACCCAAGGAGGTTGTTATCCTAGTATAGATATGAGTTTAAAGAAAGGCATGCTCCTGCACTCTGCATAGACACATATCAGAGTGCGCCTGGCCCTCTTCTCCAGTGACCAGCCAACAACAGGCAGTTCTCCAGCTTATGGACAACTTGGGCTGGCTCAGGAGAGATACAGGCATACTGCCACCTTGCAGCTGGCACGGGATGCAGACATGCTCGTGTGGTATAAGGCAAGATAGACTTCCTCATGTACCTCACTCCAGCAGTGCTCACAACAGAGGAAGGTGAAGTTCCACCTTAGTAGAAGCAAGCCCACGGTGGCCACCGAGGCATTGGGCTCTCTTGGACTCTGACGTTGTCAGCTAGGACCAACGCGCTCCTGCTCCTCCCCTGCAGGATGGGGGCAGTGCACTCAGGGTCCTGCCAACGAGGGTGGTGGTCACACCACATTTGGGACAGTCTACCTGCAGTTGTTTCCAGAATAGCTGTACAAACAAAAGCACGGGTTTTTTTTACCGTATGCATCTATGCACTAGCACTTACCATGTCTGAGAATGTATTTAAAAGAAAAACCTGATGTTATTAAGCCAACGGAAGCAGAAGGCTAGGAGCAGCTTTGAGGTGCTTCAAAACGCCTTCCATGGTAAGATGAATTGATATTGTATTATTAGACACTTTGTTCTCTCTGTTCGGCTGCCAACCCGATGGCTGAGCTATTTACAGTAGCACTGTTCTTATGCTATAGCCTCAAATGCACTCAAATCTAATTTAAAATCCACCTTTTGCTCTGAAGCTGAAACCATGTTAGCAGTGAAAATGAGGCCGACAGCATCCAAATCTGCACTTACAAAATTAAAGGCAAGATTTTCTTAGCAGGGGATACTTGGTCATCAAATTTACTACCACCAAAGATCACACCCTCCCTCAAATCATCACATATAACTTTCCAATGAAAAAAAAAGATAGTTGCAATAAGTCAGAGTTGTATTTTTTAATGTCATGACTTTTTGTGTATGGGAAAAAAAAAGAGACTTATAACTTCCCTAGGGACAGTGCATTTCCAGATATATGAAAGAATAAGCAGATATTGCTTAGCATCTTGAAGCCTTGTCTATAGAGGCAGTGTACATAGATACAGTTAATAAGAGATAAAAGTCCTGGCCCTAGACAGCTTCTACTCAAAACAGATGAAAGGAGGGGAAAAAACCTACTAATATTATCTC